TTTTGAATGCAAAATTTTATATGTTGACTTTGCAAAATGGGTCTTTCAAAAATTTTCACCAAAACCCCTAATATTTCGTATTCAGACTATTGAACACAATTCATTGACGGTGAGATCTTGTTTGTAGCCATATACGGTTAAAATCTTAGCCGAATCACTAGCAATTCCTCTGTTTACCGATGGAGAACTTAAATCATTTTCTTCTTGTCTTACCTATAGTTCTAAAGGCCTGCATTAATTCCATCGAAAAAGGCTACCGAAATGGTAGTTTTCAACATTCAACATCATTTCAGTAGAAAGGCAAGCAATTTTCTTCTTCTTGTCATATTTTTCTTATAATGATTTCAAATTGTGCAATGGTGATGATTATCGGGTTTAAATTGGTTTTATGGGTATTTACCCATGTTTCTATGGATTTAATAGTTATAAATTTTTTTTCAAAATGTTGAAATGCAAGGTCGAAGAAATTCAATGGGTTCTCCAAAGTATTAATAGAGGATTTTTTTTTTGAATCCGAACCTAATCTTTCATTCTCTCTCTTGCTCGACGTGACAACATCTATCTGCGTAACTCAGCTTTTAACTCACGAAGTTTTTGCCTACTCGCATTTTGTACAATAATAGCACTCAGGTCTCAAAGTCAGGGCACCATCGCCCATCAACGGAAGAAGAAGGTGTCAAAAGTGTTGAACAATTTCTTAGACTTGCGTCTCATGAATTGAAAGATTTCTTTTTCCTTCTTTTACGAAATCTATAAATTTCTTCTTATTTTGAACATTTGCTGTTCATAAATGAAATGAATTTGATTGAAATAAAAATTTGATATTTTCATTAATCACTCCAAGAAAAGCTAATAGAAAGGGGGAAGAGAGAAGTTGAAATTGGTCGCCATGAGATGTGGGGTAGAAGAAGACAAGGCTGTGAAACAGCGGAGTACGTATATTTTTTCTAATATGAACAAAATTCAGATTGCAGTGAAAAATTTGTTTTTTGAATGCAAAATTTTATGTGCAGACATTTTCATTTTGACTATAAGCAAAAAGGGCCTTTAAAAATTTTTCACCAAAACTCCCAATATTTCGTATTTAGACTGTTAAACAAAATTCATTGACGGTGAGATCTTGTTTGTAGCCATATACGGTTAAAATCTTAGCTCAATCACTAGCAATTCCTTTGTTTACCGATGGAGAACCTAAATCATTATCTTCTTGTCTTACCTATAGTTTGAAGGCCTGCTTTAATTCCATGGAAAAAGGCTTCAGAAATGGTAGTTTTCCACGTTCAACATCATTTCAGTTGAAAGGTAAGCAATTTTCTTCTTCTCATCATATTTTTTCTTGTAATAATTTCAAATTGCAATGGTGATTGATTGTAGGGTTTAAATTGCTTTTATGGGTGTTTACCAATATTTCCATGGATTTAACAGTTATAAAATTTGGTTTTAGAATTTTGAACTGCAAGGTTGAAGAAATTCGATGGGTTCTCAAACAAATGGACTTAAAAACATCTTTGTACATAAAGTATTAACATAGATTTTTTTTTGAATCCAAACCAAAGCTTTCATCCTTTCTCTTGCTCGACATGACGACAGTGTCTATATCTCTCAGCTTCCGACTCTTGACGTTTTTGCATGCTCTCTTTTCGTACAATAACAGCACTTAGGTCTCAAGGTCTGGGCACCATCGTCCATCGATAGAAGAATAAGGTACAATAAGTGTTGAACAATTTCTTAGAACTTGCATCTCATGAATTGAACGATTATTTCCCCTTTTTTAACGGAATCTATAATAATTTTCTTCTTGTTTTGAACATTTGTTGTTCATAAAAGAAATGTATTTGATTGAAATAAAAATTTGATAATTTCATTAACCACTCCAAGAAAAGCTAATAGAAAGAGGAAAGTGAGAAGTTGAAATTGGTCGCCGTGAGATGTGGGGTAGAAGAAGACAAGGCTGTGAAATAGCAGAATACGTATATTTTTTTCTAATAGGAGCAAAATTTAGATTGCAGTGCAAAAGATGTTTTTTGAATTCAAAATTTTATGTGCTGACTTTTTCATTTTGACTATAGCAAAAACGGCCTTTCAAAAATTTTCACCAAAACTCCCAATATTTCGAATTTAGACTGTTGAACACAATTCATTGATGGTGGGATCATGTTTGTAGCTGTATACGGTTAAAATGTTAGCTGAATCACTAGCAATTCCTCTGTTTACCGATGGAAAACTTAAATGATCTTTTTGTCTTACTTATAGTTCTAAAGGCCTGCATTAATTCCATCGAAAAAGGCTTTCAAAATGGTAGTTTTTAACATCCAACATCAATTCAGTATAAAGGCAAGCAATTTTCTTCTTCTCATCATATTTTTCTTATAATGATTTCAAATTGTGCAATGGTGACTGATTATAGGATTTAAATTGGTGTTATGGGTGTTTACCCATGTTTCTACGGATTTAATAGTTATAAAATTTGGTTTCAGAATGTTGAACTGCAAGGTCGAAGAAATTCAATGGGTTCTCCAACAAATGGATGACTTAAAGACATGTTCGTTTCAACATAAAGTATTAACAGAGGATTTTTTTTTGAATCCGAACCTAATCTTTTATTCTCTCTCTTGCTCAACGTGGCGACAGCTATCTGCATATCTTAGCTTTTAACTCTTGAAGTTTTTGCTTGCTCACATTTCGTACAATAACAACACTCAGGTCTCAAGGTCAGGGCACCATTGTCCATCGACAGAAGAAGAAGGTGTCATAAGTGTTGAACAATTACTTAGAACTTGCATCTCATGAATTGAACGATTTCTTTTTCCTTCTTTTACGGAATCTATACTAAATTTCTTCTTGTTTTGAACATTTGCTATTCATAAAAGAAATGAATTTGACTTAAATAAAAATTTGACAATTTCATTAACCACTCCAAGAAAAGCTAATAGAAAGGGGGAAGAGAGAAGTTGAAATCAGTCACCATGAGATGTGGAGTAGAAGAAGACATGGCTGTGAAATAGCGGAGTAAGTAATATTTTTTCTAATATGAACAAAATTCTAATTGCAGTGAAAAAGATGTTTTTTGAATGCAAAATTTTGTGTTGACATTTTCATTTTTGACTTTGAAGAAAAAGGGCCTTTCATAAATTTTCACCAAAACTCCTACTATTTCGTATTTAAACTATTGAACACAATTCATTGACGGTGAGATCTTGTTTGTAGCCGTATACGGTTAAAATCTTAGCTGAATCACTAGCAATTCCTCTGTTTACCTATAGAGAACCTAAATCATTATCTTCTTGTCTTACCCATAGGTCTGAAGACCTGCTTTAATTCCATTGAAAAAGGCTTCAGAAATGGTAGTTTTCCATGTTCAACATCATTTCAGTCGAAAGGTAAGCAATTTTCTTCTTCTCATCATATTTTTTCTTGTAATGACTTCAAATTGTGCAATGGTGACTGATTGTAGGGTTTAAATTGGTTTTATGGGTGTTTGCCCATGTTTCTATGGGTTTAATAGTCATAAAATTTTGTTGCAGAAAGTTGAACTACAAGGTCGAAGAAATTCGATGGGTTCTCAAAGAAATGGAGGACTTAAAAACATGTTTGTTTTAACATAAAGTATTAACAGAGGTTTTATTATTATTATTATTATTATTATTATTATTATTATTATTATTATTATTATTATTATTATTATTATTATTATTTGAATCCAAACCAAACCTTTCATCCTCTCTCTTGCTCGACATGACGACAGCTATCTGATTCTCTCAGCTTCTGACACTTGAAGTTTTTGCATGCTCTCATTTCGTACAATAACGATACTTAGGTCTCAAGGTCATGGCACCATCGTCCATCGACAGAAGAATAAGGTACTCTAAGTGTTGAACAATTTCTTAGTACTTGCATCTCATGAATTGAACGATTTCTTTTTCCTTCTTTTATAGAATCTATAATAAATTTCCTTCTTGTTTTGAACATTTGTTGTTCATAAAAGAAATGCATTTGATTGAAATAAAAATTTGATAATTTCATTAACCACTCCAAGAAAAGCTAATAGAAAGGGGGGAGGGAGAAGTTGAAATTGGTCGCCATGAGATGTGGGGTAGAACAAGACAAGGCTGTGAAACAGTGGAATGCGTATTTTTTTTTTATAATAGGAACAATATTCAGATTACAGCGAAAAAGATGTTTTTTGAGTGCAAAATTTTATGTGCTGACTTTTTTATTTTGACTATAAGCAAAAAGGGCCTTCCAAATTTATTTATTCAAATTATTGAACACAGTTCATTGACGGTGGGATCTTGTTTGCAGCCATATATGGTTAAAATCTTAGCTGAATCACTAGCAATTTCTCTATTTACCTATGGAGAACCTAAATAACTATCTTCTTTTCTTACCTATAGTTCTGAAGGCCTGCTTTAATTTCATCGAATAAGGCTTCAGAAATGGTAATTTTGCATTCTGATATATGCTTTTGTCTCAGCATTTTGTTTGTGACAACTTATGAGTCTTTAAACCAATTTGCATGATATCTTTCTCTTTTATTTTCTTACGATGTTCTACATTTCATTCAGCTATTCTGAACATTTTCGTTGCCTTTTGAATTTAAGGTACTTTTGTGACAGATTGATAAGTGATGAAAATGGAGTTAAAGATGTGGAACTCAAGGGATTTATTTGAAATTTTTTTTTCCAAAAAAATTGAGGAAAAGGTACAAGCTTTATTTGAAATAATGTTTCCTCACATATACTGCAATAAACTATTTTCAATAAATTAATTGATGTTTTAATCCCAACCACTATATAAACATGCTATAGAGATTGCTCACTATTGTGTATATGGCTCATATAGAGTGGAACACAGATTTATTGGATCAAATTGATTAGTGCCGGAGCAGAGGATG